ATATTGTTAGAATGATTTAATAAATTGAATTTATAATATTTTACTTGTCTATAAACCATCGTCATAATTATTAAATATATATTAAATTATAAAAAGATTTCTTAAGTCACTTTTTAGCTGACTGATAAATTATTGAATACATGTCACCAACCTTTAGTTAATTATCTTATCTCTCTTACCTGAATTAAAACACGTGTTGAACATGTAAGAAGATATAATATATTTGAAACCCAAGTAAAATGATGACAATATTAATGCTTTTTTGTAACTAAAAACAATAGTTATTTTATTTTCTACTAATAGTAATGTGATGTTCTAGTCATATTTACCCGAGTAATTGATTAAGATCAGCCAATCACATAAAAGTCTCTCTATGACCATTACTTACTACAAATGCGATCTTCACGTCATTCGAGTGACGATACAAACACGATCCGCTCGTCACACCTGAGACTATTATAGTCGCACCTCGATATAGTCACAGTTTAAGAATAAACACTTTTTTATTAACGTTAACGTTAAGAAATTTAAATTCTCTATAGTCACTATCACCCAATTTTTGTTTCCCAACCCCGTGACTATATCGAAGTGAATACAATTTAATTTTGGCCAGTAATTTACGCATTGATTTATACATAAAAACAGATTCCATTCTTTTAATTCTTTAAAGCAGTAAGAAAAATTACACATTACCTTTGTTATAGCTGCTAATAATGCCTAGAACTCGTGCGACAAAATCAAACACAAAGGTCAATATTGGACAGACAATCCATGATGGTGGTGTTCGAAAAAGAGCTACTGCAGCGACGAAAATGATCAATAACTTTGCTCTATCTGATAGTGACGAATATACAAGTGTATATCTTTTAGCTATTGTAGTTAAACTTTAAAATTTTTCGCTGAACTGAAATTTAAGTCTATTAATTGTTAATAAGTCACGTCTAAACCAAGAGCTCGAAAGAACACCACGACTAAAAATCGCAACAACGCAAAAACTACAACCACTGCTACGACCAAAACATATAATACGAGGAGTAAAGCTAAAGGACAGAAAAGTAAAAAGAATACTAGTTCTGAGCTTAGAAACCAAAGAATCGCGCCTGAATTCGAAGAGGAGGACTATAATTATGAACATTCAATAATGAGTGAAGCTGATCAATTGTATGAAGAAGATGATGATTTGGAAATTGGTGACGGCGAATTGGACAATCTAGAGTAAGTTTCTTCTCTATTTGTCCTTTAATTACGTGGTTTTGTTTATAATAAGTATTTTTTTAAAAGAAGTTCAGATATCAATGAAATTATTGGACTCCTTCAATGTGAGTTCTTGTGGCCGTCATGATCGACTTCCCTCTTCTATCATATAATATGATTATTTTAATCTACAATAAAATTCGCCAACACTTTACACACATTCCCTTTATCCAATAAAGCTAAGCAACGAATGAAATCAAATACGCGTTTTCATAAATTTGAATATGAACAGGATCAAAGGTTGGATGAAGCAATTAATAAAATTGACGGAGAAGGAGGAATCTTAAATAATTGGTTGGATGAAAGGTACGATATATTAACAAGATACTAAGGAGCAGATTCATGATATTCAATTCAATTGCAATCTTACTTTATCAAGGCATGAAACGATCATAAAAGCAAAAAGGAAGATGGATGATTGTTTAGCGCATAAAGAAGATAACATTAAAAATTTTAAATTTGGTTTTGAAAAGTATCAGGTATAATACTATTTCAGAATATGTTTTCTTTCAATTTATCAATTAGCAATTGAAAAATAATAAATCTTAATGTCATTTCTTAAAGTCATCTACTACTAAAACGTTAGAACATCTCACCAAACTTCACGATCAATCAATGAAATTTCGAAGTGAGCTTGATAATGGTTTGAAGAATCTCTGTAAGTAATATACATATAAATTTATGAGATTTGAGAATCGAAGATTATTATTTATGAATGTATTACCATCACACAACAAATAAGATGAAAAAGACGAATATGAATTGAATGAAGCTCTAAATCACTTCTTCAAAATACACAAACGAGCTAGAAAGTCTTTTTTAATTACTGTTAAGGTAATCTTTTTCTTTTGGTCACGTCAAAACGATGCATTTCTTAGGCTAAAGAAAATTTTTTTAATAGGAGGATCATAACATTATGGCTCTCAAAAGACGCTTGTCTGGTTTGTGATACGAAATATTGGATTAACTACATGTATATTGACTATTAAATTGTAATTTGTAAAATATAATATAAATTTATGAAAAATACGAAAATTCATCTTACGCGAAAACAATCAGAGCTGGAGTTCAATCCCCGATTCAATTTGCACGCAGTGAATTCTTGTCTTCATCTATTGCATTATAAACTACTGACATTGAGAGTATGAGTTGCTTGCTTGTCAGGGTTATTTCTTGAGAAAATTAAATATGATGGATCATGGTGTTGCGCAGGTCATGTAAAGCTTACTCTCGAAAATGCTAAGCAAATCGCAGTATCTAAGCACGGGCAATGCCTTTCAACGGAGTATATTAATAATAAAACTCCAATGTTGTGAAGGCCATATTTGGAGTACCCCATTTAGGAATATTGAATATTCTGGGACATGGTGTTCATACTATGCGGATATGCCATTTCAAGTTAAATATTCTATAAATGATGCACATAGAATTGCTAAAAGTCGAGAAGGATCTTTCCAATAGTTTCATTAATCCCATGATGTCATTACACTGGAGATGTGCTAAAAAACATGAATGGATAATTAAGCTTTCTCACATTAAAGATGAATATTGGTGTCAGTATTGTCCAATAAATATTATTTGGCCAATCTCAATTTATTAGTTACAATAAATATATTAGATCTGAAGCAATGAAACACCATTTGCACATTCAAAAATATTTCAAAATGTTTATCAAATTCTAGAACCAGAAAATTTTCATGTTGGTAATTTAATACTCATTATAAACTTATTGAAAACAAAAACACCTTTACTCATCAACTTCTTTATATCTTCATTAATTTTATCTTGATCTGGATTATTGATCATTCACTATTTCAAGTAAAAACAATGGAGAGATATCTTGTTCATATGAGAAATACTGTTATAAATTAATAAAACAAAATGTAACAAAAAACATGTATGCTAATATATTGTCACCATTTTACTTGGGTTTCAAATATATTATATCTTCTTACATGCTCAACACGTGTTTCAAGTCAGGTGGG